TCACTCGCTTTGTTCTACGCTGGTGCACGAAGACTATACATGCCGTACATGAAGTTATTTAACCTGAGAATGGACGCCTGTAATTTTTACATCCCACTATCGGAAAAATAAAGCTCACGTTACAGTAATTTTAATGTGCTTCTTTCATTTTTTTTTTTTTAATATTTTTGTTCCTCCTTACTTTCTTCAGAAAATGAGTAAATACATACTTATACATATTGTCCACAAATACTAATAAATTATAGAACAATCCAAAATATGCAATACGTAATTAATAACAATGATTTTTAATTGGGGTGTAAAAATCACTCCAGGTGACAATATATGCAATAAAAAAAATCAGAGACGTCTGTTCCCGGGTTAATCTTGAATATATACTTTTATATTTTACCTTTAAATTACTTTGAAAAAAATGTTATATTAAAAATGCAAAACTAATATTTAAAATTTTTTAAATTTGGTTCTAGTTGTAAATTTCATTGAGAAATAAAGTATAATTTCTTCTTAATTATATCCAGTGTTGAAAAGTGAAAAACTATTCATTGAAAAATACAATCGAATATGTAATCAAACGTGAAGCTGTCGGAAAGGCCATCAACGTTTTGCGCACATGGAGTAAATTATTGCAGCATATCAGATGATTGATACCTAACACTATACCATCATTAATTCCGTTACATTTTATTATTAAAATTATAGATATACATCTTTACATCTAAAATTTTACATCTTAAATTTTATTCATGATATTATTGCAATTGGAATATTAAATCTTTGCAATTGTACGATATAATTCAACGACCGATAACTCCGATAACGAATCAGCCACTCGATAGAATAGATCATCAGCTGCAATGACTTTGACGAAAAACAGTTTTTGTCCGTCATTATTGCGCGATTTCACTGTTCCAGGAAAGGGAATCGCCAAATTATCTCAATCATATCATCTATACTGTTATCGGTGCAACGGAAGGGCTTAATCACTCGTCAGCCACTCGTGCGCACAAAAGAAAAGAAAAAGAACGACTCGCGTCCTTCCACTTTCATCTGGTTGCAGAACTCGTCTCGTCTCGATATCGAGAAAGTGCCCCGCACTATGCGAACATCAATAAATACTCCGGATCGTCGACAATTGAAACGCGGAGCCGCCTTCAACCGCGTGAGAGAACCCTTCTATCGACGAACGATCGTGTGAACGGAAAGCGAAAGCACGAAGCGGGGAGGGAAACAAAAAGCCGTGTAACAACACAATCTCCTCGCGGGACGCGGATTCGCGAGCGATCGCGGTCGCGTCGCGGTCGCGTCGCGGCGCGGCGCCTCCGCCGCGTATATCGAGGACGAGCGCGGCGGAGCGCCGTGGAATTCCGAATGAGCGAGCGAGCGGGTGATCTGCCTACCCATCTACCTACGTTTGTTTACCCTACCGCGAGTCCCTTTGTTTCGGCGCGACCGCGATTCGCGGCCGCGGGTCGCGTCTCGCGGACGTCGACGGGTCAAGGGGAACCCTCGGAATTCTCTCTCTCGATTCCCTTTTTCGCGCGCGCGGCTGTCAGTGCAGCGCCAAATAAGGCAGCCGGCCGAGCCGAGCGGAGCCGAGCGGAGCGCGGAGCTGAGGCCAGGCGAAGCCGCGTCGCGCGCGGAGCCGAGAGAGCGCCGAGTCGCTCCGGAGTCGCTCCGGAGTCGTTCGCGATATAACTATGATCAGCGATTACTTGGCCCTCGATAAATTGACATCCGACGGCGCGCGCCGCGCCGGCGGCCACCGCGCGAGGACACGTACGTGAGCGCGCGCCCGACGAGGAGGAGGAAACGCGCGAGAGGAAACTCACCGAACTCTGCGGGGAACTGGACACGCTCGGGGAACGCTGCACTGTGACCAACGCCATGGTGATGCGGCACCGTCGTCGCCGTCGCCCCGTCCCGGCCTCGCGACGCGGCAGAAACGCTCGCTCGACACTGTACTCGCGCGCGCACGTACGATCGCGCCGTCAGGAGCGCGAAAAACCCGTCATTTTTCGCGCACCTTTGACGGTATCACGCACGCGGCGGCCATGTTCGATACAGTCGACGGTAGCGCACCGCGCACGCTCGCGCCGAGCCGCCGAGGCCGAGATCTCCCTTCGTCACACTCGTCCCCCCTCCCCCACCCTCAACCCGCGTCGCTCGCCGGTCTCGCCAGCCGGCCGAACCGTCGCCCGCGAAACCGCTTTTATCGCGCGCTGCCCGATGACGTCACGTTTCCGAGTTTCGAGTTTCCCGGCGCACGCAATGCGATCTCGCGGGACTCACGCGCGCTCTGATATTCCCCTCCACTCCCTGAATTTTTTTTCTCTTGATTCACTGATAAGTAATTATAATTGTTGCTCACGTAATTTCTACTATTTAACGACCGTCGATAACGAATACAAATTTTTGTTTCGAAGTTTTGAAACATATATATGTATATTTTCGTGTTTTCAAATTCAGGGTTGCGCCTAAATTTAATGATTTTACATTTACATGGATTATTTATGGTTTATATTTTTCACGCAAACCTTTTTCATGTAGACAATACAAATCAATGTAAATTATTATAACGTGAATAATTGATTAATTAAATTTGATTCTTTTTAACTGTATTTTTGCAAAAGTCCTACAAAAATGAAAAAGAATAGCTTTAAATTAGATTACAGATTAGATGCATTCCAATTTTAATTTATATTTATTAACTGTACAGTGTATGAAAGATATGCTAATATAGTAACATTATTATTTATATGGTAAACAACAAAAAGCAATATTACTTATTGTTAGTTAGTTCACGGTTGCAATAATATGCAATGTTTAGTTTTTTTCACAAGTATAAGATCAGGATCTTCAAAACTATTGTTAATTTTTCCTAGCGACTTAAAAATTGTGTCAAAACTAAATAATAGTAACTGAAAAAAAAACTGCAAATAAAATATAAATTTATGATATTTTTGATGAAATATAAATGTTGGATGATTCATAGAGACTCACTGTTTACATGACACGTTAAATATAATTCATACGTCACATTGTATACCTGCAGATGTAAATTATATTATTTTATATGTGTAAACACCCAACTTGACTATGTGATGCGTAGCACGGTACGTTACCCATTGGAAATATTTGCAGATATATAGCTACGTAGTTCAATGTCCATGTTTTCTGCACATAGAGGCGCCAGTGGACGGATTCCACTCAAACTACCACTAGACCACACTGCCGCCCTATAACAAAGATTATAATTTGGATTATATTTTGAGTCTTTATGTTATAAGCTCGCAGTCATTTTAATTGCTAAGTGTTCTTTTATTCTTATTATATCTTAAAATAAATTACATTGTAATATGAATAAATCATTTTATTTTTAAATGATTTTTTGTTTTAGTTTTCATGTATAAAACAATATTCATATGAATACGACATACACAAAATATTAATCTGATGTTAATTCAACATGTTATACATAGTTATTATTTTTTTACATGTCGGCCATGTCGCCTAGTTTGTACACATCGCACGCGTGATACGTAATACGTATCGAACGTGTGTATTTGCGTCGTAGCTCGATCGTTGCAAAACAATGTGCATTTCCTGGAGCAAAGTGTAAATAGAATTTAGAATTTAAAAAAGTACCATTATCGATCGCGTATCACGCACGCGTACTTCGCGCTCTTCGCAGTTCGCATTCGCGTTTGTCGAAAAGCGTATCAGTCAAACGAGTTCGAGTTCGCTGCGAAAATGTCGAAGATATTTACGCCGACGAATCAAATAAGGCTGACGAACGTAGCCGTTGTTCGTATGAAGAAGGCTGGCAAGCGATACGAGATCGCGTGCTACAAGAACAAAGTCTTATCTTGGAGAAACAAGCAGTAAGTTCTCTCGTACCGAGATGTGCCCGTCTAACCAAACAAATTTACGGTTTCCTATATATTTACATTAAGTACGTCGAATGTACCACTGTTAAATCTCCTCGACACGTGTGAGATTTCGACCGTTTACCAATACGTTAATTTTTTAAATGGTTGAATGTTTATATCTTTAGAAACTTTATATGTTTTAGTTACCGTCCAAAGGACGTATGTCATGTAGTTTATTTTTAGTTTATTATTATTCAGAACATTCTTTTTATTACCTGTATAACGTAGAGTTAAATACGTGTCATTTATTTCTTTTGGAAATGTATTTCAGGGAGAAGGACATTGACGAAGTGCTGCAGACGCACACAATATTTACCAATGTGTCGAAGGGTCAGGTGGCGAAAAAGGAAGATCTCGTGAAAGCTTTCGAAACCGAAGATCAGACTGAAATCTGCAAGCAGATCCTCGCTAAAGGCGAGCTTCAAGTTTCCGATAAAGAGAGGCATCTGGCATTGGAGTCCATGTTCAAAGACATTGCCACGACTGTCGCCAGCAAGTGTATAAATCCAGAGACCAAGCACCCGTATCCGGTCACCATGATCGAGAATGCCATGAAGGAGGAGATACATTTTTCTGTCAAACCTAATCGAAATGCCAAACAGCAAGCATTGGACGTTATCTCGCAGCTGAAAGAGGTGATGCCCTTGGAACGTGTCCAAATGAGGCTTAGGATTGTCATTCCGGAGAAAGAGGCCAGAAAATTGAAGGATAAAGTCGTTAAGCTCGCGACTAAGGTGGAAACGGAGGAATGGGAGGGTGGATCATTAACGATAATCTGCTTAATCGATCCAGGCCAATACAGGGAAATCGATGAATTAATACGATCAGAAACGAAGGGCACCGCTTTAATGGAATTGGTTAACTTGAATGAGGTTGCCGAAGGAGAAGAACTGTTAACATAAATCGCAAATGGAGCTGTTGTATCACCAGAACGTGTTGTTCCCTGGAGAGATTCGTGTTTATTAATTCTAATTTATATTTTAAGTATATGTTAACAACTTTGTTACATCTTCATCATTGCTAATAAAGCAATTAGCATTTGTATTTACAAGTTTCATTTAATTATCTACATGCGTGTCGTACAACAGTTATCTTTATCACTCCTAATGAGAACTGCAATACACGCTTCTTATTAAGATTGTAATTAAGAATTGCACACTCTTTCCGTTAAACTAATTTTATTTCGTTTAAAAATTGCAACTTTAGATACGTAACGGAATACATATCCATTCCAAAAGTGTATATGTCTACTTGATGAACATCAAGTACATAGAGAAACATTTGATAACAAATAATGGCAACCCTATTAGAACGCTTAGTTACTCTATATTTATATTTGTAACTGCTGCACTATATGTACGTGTATTGTGTGTTTGTATAATTATTTATATATTTATGTTAGTGTGCAAAAAGTCAATGCTCTACAAAAATTTGTAAATCAGTCCGTTCACTTCTCCTCCGTCACTTCCGCTCGCGGAATATAAATATTTTCCGTACGTTGATCACATTTGGCCGCGATACGTGATACCGTTAGAAGGAAGTCTGATAATCTATTTAAATACATTTGTGCCTCTTTATCTAGAGCGCCGTCTCGTACTAATGTCGTGATGCTCCTCTCGGCGCGTCTGCATACCGTTCGCGCGACGTGCAGGGAAGCGCAAGCTTTTCCGCCGCCCTAGTATCAAAACATCAGATAGGAAGTAAAAATACATGTATACACGTACACAAAAGTATCTAGATAATTACCGGAATGATATAATCCTCGGGAGGAGGAAGCTGATTCGCGTATTCGAGAATCCACTCTTCCAGATCTTTGGTGTGTTTGCTTTCGAAGGACCTGGTCTTCCCAGGCACGGACTTCGATATGGCGTGGCTCAGGTCGACCAAGATCATTTGCACCCTCTTGAGCTTGTCGACGTACGGATGCTCGACCTTCCCGTCGCAGGCAAACTCTCTCGCCAGTCCTATGTAAGACGACAGCTCGTCGGTCGCTCCGAGAGCGTTGAAGATCATGTCGTCCTTCGGCTTTGTGTCCCCGGCGTCCGTGATGGTCAATCCGGAGTCGCCGTCTCGCGAAAACACCGCCACCTCAGCCACGTTCGACGTTGTCTTGCCGCTGCAAGG